TAGATATGTAGATGTTGGTTTAAAATATTGGGAGCTTCCCAGATAAAATTTGAAACTAGCCCCCTTACATGGAGGGCAAAGAGAGGCTGAAGAGGCAGACCACCCCGGATTGGTAGGTGGTAAGTTTAATATTATAATTAGCTAGGGAATTTACAGATGAGGCTTGTCTTGGACAACAGCAAGAGACGAGTAAATCTGTGCACCCAGCCACCAGAATCCTAAAGTGTATATAGAGGATTTAACTGGGTTCAGTCACCTGTGCCATTCAGATGGTCTCAACAACACATTGCTCTCTCAAGGCCGTGTCCTTGGAAACAGTTCCCACTGTGGGAACAGTGGGCAGAACGTACATTCCAAGCATGGGAGTCGGGGGGAGCCTCTGATTGCCCAGGGTCCGATTCATGGGTCAACAGTTACATCCTCTCAATAACCTTCTCTAACAATAAATATGATGGAAAAAAATACTGTTACTGCATAAAATGTTTTACAATTGTTCTCATTGTTGGGACATTCTGATAAATACTTATAGACATGCTGTTGCAAATCTACGTGAGAAAAAGACTTTGAGATGGTTATGTTTTGTACACTGAGAATATTTCCAAGTTACTAAAACTTACCATTATTATTTCATAATATACTAAAAAATAATCAAGACATAATAATTTCCTTGATGTCCAAGACATTCATGTGTGTTCTCACTGCAGCCCTAGTACTCTGCCTTGTTCAAAACAGGTGTTCAGAAATGTGTATTGATTTGAAAGACTCATTTTGTTTTTTCTGAGGATATTTCTACCTAGTAGACACTAAGTTGCATTATGAAGATGCTCCCCAACAAATTCAAACTTCTCATAAGGTAATAACATCGGGAATTATAAGCAAAGTGCTAGTGCCATGGTTTTTGTTTATTAACAGATGTCTTCTTAATAAATTATTAACTTTATTTGTATTAATGAAGCTATGAATTACTTTATGATGAATCATTACAGAATTTTAAAATGTATAATTTTCTGTAGTTTTCCATTTTACCCACAGTTGTTTCTTCAATTTCTTTCCTTTCATCGTAGTCTTAAAAAAAAAAAAGTAGGATGATTCCTTTTTTCTGAAATCAAGTTATTTTTGTGTGAGATCATAAGTAGATTTATATATAATTGGATAAGTCTTTCAGTCTCAAATTCAAAAATAAGTTAAAAATATTTTAAATATAAAAAGTATTTTTTATTTAAAATGTTTTCAGCTCCTAAGCTGAGGCACACCCTGTTAAAAAACTGTCAGATGATATAATTTCTTTCTCAAGCTCAGATAATTACTTTTACTCAAAAAAGTAATATTTATGACATTCAGAAATTGACTACTGTGTTGATTTGCATCTACTAAGCCTCAATATAAAATGAGTTGGATGAATACCCTAGTTATCATTATTTTTGTGAGATTTATTGAACATTTATTACTAGGGAAGGTAGAATTGTCTTTTGAGACATATTATGTTAATGTGATAGAAATTATTAGATTTATGCATGAGATCTGTTTGTTCTTATCATCTCTTAGAGAAAGAAACCATTATTATGTCAGAATACCCTGAGGTGCATGATTATTTTTACCATATTAATACATGAATTGCTCCTTTTCATTAGGAAATTTCAGTTGAAGATAAATGTAAGTAAAATTCTTTGTTGATGCATTTAATAATCTAAAAAAAGAGGCCTGGAGAGTAGTCAGAATTTCTTGGCTTAATTTTATTTATTAAAACATACTAAATAGAAATGTACTTATTTTTACAATTATTCCAGAAATAACTTCATGCTATCAATATATATATATATATATATTCCAATATGAGTCTCCAAGGGGAAATATACTATATAGTAAACTCCCTATATAGTTTCATGAATGTTCTTGAGACTAGACCAGAATCTCTTTTTGTGGAGCAATTTGAAAAATCAAAGTTCCAAGGAACAGATTTTGGGAAACATGATACAACAGTTATTCAAGCCTGACAAGGAAACACAAAAGATCCATTCAGCACCTACACGAGTTACTGCGGAACCAACAAAACAACTGTACTGTTACAAAACAGCACCCTCCCCTCCTCTACCCCCCACAAAAATTACTTTCAGCGTAAGCAGATTTTGCAGAATCAGGCTTGGCTAAAAAAATATTCAGCATGGTTTAATATGCTGATTTTTCAAGTGGTAGAAATGTCTTTCTAAGTCCATGCTAATTGATTTCTTATGTTTGAAAAATTGGGATAATATCAACCAATTTATGAGGAATTTAGGTTGGCATTGGTAAACTGAGGATATTTTGAAGGATTTCAGTATCGCACTTTTTATTTCTAAATATCTATTGATGAACTGATGTAAAATAGGCACCTTCAATAGTCAAGCACCCAGATATCGACTTTTAACCACCAAAGAACACCAAATTCAGGGCAAAGAATTCAATAGCTAAAGGTCGCAATTCACTCACCCATGTAAGATAAGATTTATATTGGATCTGTAGTAAAGAATCTTACTTTATTTTTGTCTACATCTTTGGGTAGAACAAACTGAAAAATTTTTTAAATCTGCCAACTATTGATTTTCTTACTTATTTGCTAGAGATCTTACCTGAGGAAATTTTTTTCAAATAAAGCCAACCATGCATATTCTTGTGTGATATATTCTATAACATTACTGATGATAAAGATCTATATGACAAGCAGTACATCTTTAATTTTAAACAAGATGCATATTAGATCTCAACAATATTAAATGCATATTTAAATATTTAAAGGGACATTTTCTCCTTTTAAAACCATATTTTTACAAACTTTACTATTTATAATAAATTTAATAATTTTCAGAACTTACTGAACTCCACAAAAATATACTTTAAACTATATTCAGCCACCTAGCCAATCATACTATACTACATTGGTATTAGCAAGCAATACAACACTCTATGAGTTGAAGTTTTAGGATGTTTATGCACATAAAGAGCCAAAGTGTTTCACTAAAATAATGTCTATTAGGAACTTTCAAAGATATATATTTTCCAGCTCTCCTAAATAGAGATACTGAATATGTCAACCTTTTCTGGATAACAACATCATCCTATATCTGAAAGTTATTTGAATGACATATATAGTTCTATATGCCTGTATAGGAAAGTGCCCCAAATATCAAACTTGAATGTGTTCCCTCCCTCCCTGAGAACCATTTCTTCCCAGAGCAGATCAGATGTTCTCCCGCTTTCTGATCTGCAATCTTCTGGAAGTTAGTCACAGGCTTGCCCTAGACCTCTCCTGCAGGGTAATGTTCATGAATTTGTGTGACAGCTACTTTCTCTAAGGAGAGGTTCTCACTTTAGGATGGATAGCTGTGCTCAAGGTAGAGTCGGGCATGCAAACGTTCTGGCCCTCCAGAAAGTGAAGTGTTTTTACACCAAATCACTTCAAACAATAAGAGGTCATTTTTACTTTTTGTCATTTGCCCCATGTCCACTGTTTACTTGCAAAACTTCCTGTAAAAGACTGCCAGGAAGATCTGGGTCAAATTTCACACTAATACATAGCAACTCTGCTCGTGTATTTATTGACTCATCTGGTTCCATAAAGCTTTTATTACCACGAGCAAGTCTTTATGGTTAGCGTATCTGAATTGTTCTTTTGCTTTGAAATGCATGTCAGCTTTCTCTTTCTATACTAATAAATTTTGGGTATTAAAATTTTGGTTATTTTCAAAGTAAATCAGGCCAAAAACAATTTGGAAATAAAAGGCTCAGCCTAGGAATTTCACAGACATTATACTTTTAAACCTCACGACAGCCTTCAAATTAGGCCTTACAAGTGTGTTAACTGAGACTTGGAAAACTTAAACAGAATCCCACAGTCCTACGTTCAGAAGTTGTGAAGTGAGAATTCTCACTCAGACCTTTCAGACTCGAAACCCCTGGTTAGTTCTACAATAATGCATGGATTTTAAAAACAGTCAAAAAGCAAAATACTCTGTGGCATTACATGTTTAGACACCCTCGTAGAACGGAGATTCACAATTGATATTTCAAATTATGACCTGAATCATTTAAGAAGAGGCTGTATTTTATCCAATATATGTCTTCAAGTCCTTGAAATTATAATATACTTTAGGAGTTTTCAATACAATGTGGTTCTTTTTTTCATAACTCAAGTATTATCATTAATAGTGCATAAATCTCACCTTCAGACATTCAGAACAATGCATTCTCATGAGTTTAAGAAACCACAATCTTATAGTCAAAATGGTTTTACTTTTTGCTACTTGTGCTGCTTTTAAAATTAGCCATGCCCTGTTCTAACATTAACTCTATAACCACAGTAAATTTACAAACATAATTAGCCTCCTATACCCATCAGGTGAACCATGGACAGCACATCCTACTCAAGGTCATAATATATTTTGTTTGAGCAAATATAGCTGACCACACTAGTTCACTGACATTTCTTAACATCAAGGTCAAGGTACTTTTATAACTTTTACAGCAAAAAAATAATAGCTTCTATAGCAAAAAAAATAACTTTTAAGAGAGTAAATTTTATCCTTACATTAGAAATTCATTAACTTATTCCTTAAAATATTAAATATTCTATAATACTTAACATTTTTTGACACATATTCCTGGTATCTCTGAGAGAAATTGGACTTTTAATACTTAATAAGCTTCATATCAATAAATAAAGTAATTTTCCAGAATGCAGGCAATCACAACAAGGGCTCAAAATAAGTCAATTCTGGTTGTAAAAATGGAGATAAACCATATTATTTAACAAATCAAATTTGCCCCCATGCTAGAAATGACCATTTTTAAATAACTTGATTACATTGTTTTTAGCAAAGCCTATGGAATTCATTAATTCCAAGGTCGTTGACCAGAAAAACATGAAAGTATAGACTGGCTAATACAATTTTTCCAATCTGTGACAGCTGCTTTTTCACTTTGACAATTGTTATCCATCTGTTTATGCTAAATTTCACAAGTCTTACCGTCAGTTTCTCCTCTAAATTCTCACTTAATAAGCTTCCTTTTCCATGCTTTTCAAATTCCATGTTGAAAGAGAGAGAGAGAGAGAGAGAGAGAGAGAGAGAGAGAGAGAGAGAGAGAGAGAGAGAGAGAAAGAGAATCAGATTCGTCTAGAAAACGATTTGACGTGCTTACATGTTAGATAGTGCAGGACATTCCAAGTTGTGAGAGCCCTAGGACACTATCAGAAAGCCCTGGCGATAATTTCTGGTTAGCTAGTGTTTCCATTTATAGATGTTCAAACCCCATAAACAGAGCACTGAAGAGAAGTCAGGCAGCTGGCCTTAGATAATGATAAATGTCACTAGACATAAAAGCAAACTCTTCAACAGGAGAATATTCCAACAGGTCAGTTCCCCTGAACCACGTACAATGTATGTGACAAACAGCCACTATCAAGGAATTCATTAATAGCCTTTGGAGCAGAATAAAATACATTCAAGACTATAGACCGGATAAATCAGTTCAAAAAGGACAAATGTGATTGTCTTATAGCAAGTATGAACCAGCCAGTCTTGTTCTTCCAAATTCCAATTTTTTTCCTTCCTTGTAGTCCAGGCATTTTTGCATTTATTGTGTAGCTCAAAATTTTATACAAGACATAAAGGGAAAGAGCAAAGGAAAACTAATTAAAACGATTAAGACACACAACACATATATTCAAAACGTGCTTCCAATTTTGTTCTGTAAAAAGTTGGCAAATGATGTTTAGAAACACTCTGAAATAAAATCATGTTTCTCTTCACAAAAATTGATTTTGTTCTTCATTGTCCTGGCTTTTCGACTGGGAACAAAGTTATGACATAGGAGATGAAATTCATTTTTCCAATAGAACAAATGTTTTCAAAATTCTTTAGAAGTTGTCACATGCTTTAAAGAAAATGAATTGTGTAATTTGATAATTAACTTTTTTTGTTTGTTTACAGCAAACCAGACGTGTGGATGCATCAAAAAATAAAAATGGCTTTCAGAGTCAGCTAAGACTGATCTCTGTGGTGGCCTAATCCCTCAACCTGTTTAAAATGTCCTTTTAACACCTGTTCCTGACCTTAACTCAAATTTCCTATCAGTTTTTCCTTTACTTTTTAAGAAAACATTTTAGGAAATGTGTTGTGAATCTGTCCTTTAGCATGGTTACAGCTGGTTCTCCGTTGCCAGGCAGCATTGCTCTAGAGCTTACTCTGCACCATGAGAAAGGGCTGAGGATTTCAGAAGTAAACATTTGGTAGGAAATGAACCTAGTTACTCCTGCTTCAGGATAATGAATTCATTTATATGTATTAGGCTCATGGGAACAAGGGGCTTCCCTCTCTGGCTCAACTCTGAATTCCAGAAAACGAATCATACACGCTAGTTGTTGCCCTAACAAGTTTGAAAACTGAAGTCTTATAGGCTTATCAGCATGCAAGATTGGTATGTGTAAAAAAGCAAGGCAATAGTGGAAATTTTACATAAATGGAAATCCAAAATCTCTCTAGAAAAAAATGAAAGCACACTATGGATGCAAAAGGAAACTCAGTTATGGCTAGTTTCATGCCTGAAGGTGAAATTCAGGATTCAGTTAGCAGTAGAGGAAAGGTGGGATGCAGAGTTGGTCAGGGAAGAAGATAATAGTGATAACAGGAGGGATGGGGCAGTGGTAGTGGGAGGGATGAAAGTTTTAATTCAACAAACATGTACCATGTACCTATAATGGGTGAGGATTATTCTAGGTACAGGCAGATATTTTTTTAATGGTAAATAAAAATAATAAAATTAAAAGATATAATCTCTACATGCTTCCCTCTACAAACACAATATAGGTGTGACTGCATATAAGTAGGATAACAACACTCTTGTATAGCACACTTCAATAGCTTTTCTATGTTATCTCAATTCTCAGAAACACTATAGAAGGTACATACTATGATTTTTTCTCCATTGTTATGTGCTAAATTACATGCCCCCCCCAAATTCATGTTGAAATCCTAACCCCCAATATCTTAGAATAAGAGTATATTTGGGATTACGGTTTTTAAAGAGGTAATTAAGATAAAATGAAGTCATTAGGGGGGCCCTACTCCAATATGACTGGTGTCCTTATAAGAGATTAGGACGAAGATAGAGAGGAAAGACCATGTGAAGACATAGGGGAAGATGGCCATCTACAAGCCAAGGAGAGATGCCTTCAGAAGAAACCAACCCTGACAACACCTTGATCTTGGACTTCTAGCCTCCAGAATTGTGAGGAAATATATTTCTGTGGTTTAAATCACCTAGTCTATGGTATTGGCTACCACAGCCCTAGCAAACTAATATACCCATTTCAGACTTGAAAAAATAAGACACAGTTATACAGCTAATAGATGTCATTCAAGTTCCCCAGCCCAAGCTCCTAACCACTGTGTACTTTAGTGCCTCTGAACAAATAATCTCCTCACAGAGAGTCGGAGAATAGCACCAGCACTGTATGGTGAATACTATCCACTCCATCTATTTACAGAGATATGCTTACATATATACGGAGATATGTTTTAAGGACAGGATCTTTTTTCTTAGGTAAAATTATGCCCATGCAAAAGCCAGCCCTCATCCACTAGCTGGTCAGACATCAGGCACTGAGTCACACTGGTCTCCTTTCTGTTCTTCAGTCACAGCAGACACGTTTCTTCCCGACTGGAGTTCTCTCTTCCCAGACAGTCATGTGTCTCCCTTCTCACTTCATCGAGGCCTTCCCCAATGACCCCATCTAAACTAGCAAACCCTGTGTCCATTCATTAGCTGTTTTGTTCTTTCATAGCTCTTATCCCCTCTGGCACGCTGTTATTTCACGTGCTATTTTATTTGTAGCTGATCTCTCCTATTTGAGTATAAGCACCAGAGGGTACTTTATTCATCACTTTATTCAGGCTCTTAGAACATAGTAAGGACTAAATAAATTCTTGTAAAGGAAAGAGGGAAGGGAGGAGAGAAAGAAAAGAAAAAAGCAAAGAAGGAAAGAGGGAGGAGAGGAAGAAGGGTGAGACAGAATGAAAATATATCAAATGAATGTGACTTAGGACATTTGATACATTTTTATTTGTAAGGCTTTTGGTAGGCAAAAGAGAAATAAAATGCATATTTATCCAGCAATCATACTACAGATGAATCCAATATTGTTTGTTCATTTTTCTTACTCAAACAACTATTAAAGGTGAAATAAATAGATTTAGGAAGCAGAAAGAATTGGATCCATTTGCAGATTCTGCCACTTTCTAGTTCGGTCACTTTAAGCAAATTAATTCTCAAAGTTTCAGTTCTCTTTCTCCTTAAGAGATGATACCAACCTCTGAATGTTACTACAAAAATTAAATATGGGAGCGGTGCAAAGAACTTCTAGTGTCTGGCATTAGGCAGGCTCTCAGTAACCATTATTTCCCTGGCCTATATGTGAAGTTTATAAGGAAAAAGTTATTCCAAAGATAGTATCAAAGTCCTAACAAATATGGCACAAACAAGAACAGAGAGTGGAAGAAAATCATTTCTCTGATAAGGGACTCGTATCCAGAATATATAAAGAGCCCTTACAACTCAACAATTAAAAAAAACAAAACAACAATTTAAAATGAGCAAAAGATTTGAATAGACATTTCTCCAAAGAAGACCAGAGAATGGCTAACAAGCACATGAAAAGATGTTCAACAAAATTTTAATTAGGGAATACAAATCAAAACCATGAGATAATACTTCATATCCACTAGGATGACAAAAAATGGAGAATAACAAGCTTTGGCAAGAATGTGGATAAACTGGAACCTTCATCCATTGCTGGTGGGATTATTTAGTGGAACAGCCACTTTAGAAAACAGTTCAGCAGCTCCTCAGAATTTTATATAGAGAGTTACCATATGATCCAGCAACTCCACTTCTAGGTATATATACAACGGAAGTGAAAATATATGTCCACACAAAAAATTGCACACAAATATTCATGATAGTATTATTCATAATGGTCAAAAAGTGGAAACAACACAAATGTGTATCAATACATAAATGAAGTATTGATACATACAACAACATGGATGAAAATAAAATTATAAGGAAAAGAAGCTGGTCACAAAGCCACATATTGGGGCCGGCCGAGTGGCTCAGTTGGTTAAGAGCACGAGCTCTAAGCAACAGGGTCACCGGTTCAATTCCCACATGGGCCAGTGAGCTGTGCCCAAGCTGAGCTGCCAACAGGTGGCAGGATGGTGCAGCTGGTAAGACCATGTACTCTTAAAAACAAGGTTGCCAGTTCGACTCTCACATGGGATGGTGGGCTACACCACCCCCTCAGCTAAGATTGAACACAGCACCTTGAGCTGAGCTGCTGCGAGCTGCTGACAGGCGGCCAGATGGTGACTGGACTTGGGGCTGAGCTAGCTGTGCCTCCACCACTAAGACTGAAGGACAACAACTTAGCTGTTCCCCTCCCCCAATTCCCCAACACTGTTCCCCTTCCCCAATTCCCCTATAAAATCTTTAAAAAAAAAAAAGCCACATAGTATGTGATTCATTTATATGAAATGTCCAAAATAGGCAAACCATAGAAACAAAAATAATTTGTGGTAGCCAGATGTTAGGGGAAGGGCCGAATGGGGAATGACTGCTAATGGGTATGAGTTTCTTTTTGGGGTGATGAAAATATTCTGAAATTAGATAGTGATGATTGCATAACCCTGAATATACTAAAAATCACTGAATTGTATGTATAATTTAAGAGTAAATTTTATGGTACATGAATATCTCAACAAAGCTACTATTTAAAAATAAATAAATAACAGAGGGAGACATACAATTCCTTTTCTCAAGTGGAAATGTATTCTTTTTTTCCAGGAATATAATATGCACAATGGGTCACTCCAAACAGGAAATTAAAATCTACATTACAGTAGGCAAGCAAGAATTCCATTCAAAATGGAAACAAATGACCCTCTTGGCAAATAATTGCTTCAAGATACTGCCACCTTACTCCTTTGCATTATCCTTTGTATTTTTTTGCATCATCACCTGGCTTGTGAGTGATATTCGGCTTTTGAAATTGCAGCTGCTCAAATCTATATTGAAAAACTGGGTAAAAGTGGAATTTTTAGGTACTAAAACAGCTTATTCATCTACTGGGTCTGAGGACTAAATGTACTTTTTGTGTTTTTTGTCTT